GAGAAAGTTCACCACAGTTACATGTGAAATATCATTGTTCAATGCAATCGACCTTGTACTAGAATGAGGGTTGTCCTGGAGCTCCACCAGGATATTCAATCTAGTTTCATCATCTACTCTAGGACGACCCGCACGAGGAGCATCTTTCACACTACCAGTTTCCTCAAACCTTGCCAGTACCCTACTAACCGTAGATTGCGTAATTGGTGGTCTGTCAGGGTACGTTGCATTAAATAATTGGCAAGCTTCTTGATGGGTTCGTAACTTATCGCCGAAACCAATCATCCTCAAAATATCAATTCTTTCGCGTTCACTAAGTTTTGCCATTTCGAATTAAACGATTTCACCAAAGAATGTTAAATCGGTACTGATTTTTAGTCTTCAATATTTCAGGTAATCTACTCCTTTCAAGTAAACATTTCTTTGGATCTTTTTTTTTTGAGGAATTTATCGGCAAACTCGAAGACAAAAAGTCGACCTTAATTTGCTACATACTATTTGGATTTTGTGCGGTTGAACTTGGTTCTAAATTTTGCAGTTTAATCAGGATCCTGACAATATCTGATGAATAATTCCGCAAATATTACATAACACCAGTTGCAACTTAAGTTATCTGAAATGCTTTCTGCCGAATAAATTTTTTTCTAAGGCATTTGATCCGTAAACAGCAAATTATTGCATTCAAGAACTTAAGGTGCATTTTTCTAAAAAAAATTGTTATGTAAGACATCGAAATTTTCACACCGTTGTTTAGATAATTATCACTGTCATCAATTTCGAACGAAAAAAATATGCGTTGTCATTTAAAAAAAAATTATGTCATCGCTGCCGTAAGTGGATTATTGAAAAAAAAATTCCACATAACAAGGTGCCCTGGATCAAATAAAAATCGACGGGTCTCACCGTTTTTCGAAAAAAAAATTATTTAACGAAAATATGAATTTTATGCAGAACTTTTTTACCATGCTGTATATTTGAGCTGACCAGTCCAGACGAATATAGGTATTCCCGTCAGAAATGACGTACAGTATGAGCTTGTAATTTCGAACCAGACAGCTGACTGCCACCGCATAATCCGAAATCGTATCACAATAGCCGTGCAAAAACTTCGCAACTGTGCCCAAACCATCAAGAAGCAAACGTCTTAGGTCGGAATCCCCTGCCCATTATTGTTCGAATGGCGGAACTCCTTGCCTGCGAGTCTTTCTCTTCCTTCATTGTGAACCGCGATCGTCTGGAGTAGACAAAAGGAGAAGGACTGTGTACGCAGCTGTCCTCGGCACGCGCTGTACATTCCGTTCGTATAAATTTTAAGGAATTCATTGATGTTTACCTTTTCGACATCTTGCGATTGCCTGGGGTGTTACCCCCAGACGTCGATTGCCCTATAAAACTTCCTCGAGACATATGGACAGCATTGGCGGGAGTTTTAATGCACTTTGTTTAATTTATGACCGCTCTGAAGTCACGAAAACGCTCAATCGTTATTCTTGCTGCTTTACTCAAAATGCATTTCCATTTTATTTACTTGTAAATAAACTCGAAACTAATTGCTTATGCTTAGAAAAACTAAACTCATGCGATGGGACAACATATGTTTTTAAGGATTTTGTAATTCAAATATTGAGGTACGAAATCTTTGCAGAAGTATTACATGAAATTCATATTTTGATGTCAGATCTAATTAAATTATTTAACCATGTTTTTAGCTTTTTTGTAACGTATCTATAAATGAGGAAGAATATCATAGAAATTGGAAATGGGCATATTTTCTAAACATTAGTAGGTACAGGAAAATCCAGGTCAGGTTACTCACTCCTAAAAGATAAACAGATATTTAAAATAATCTGTGTAAATATTATATCTCCAAATCTGAAACCATTTCTTTTTTAAATTACCAAGCTTTGCGGACGGCAAAGAAATTAAAATAAACAGTCAATTACGAAAGAGATAAAGAAATATTTAAGTATTGCGTAGGATGCACCGCCATAGAAAAAGTAAATTAAATAAATGGAGCTGTAATACCGGGATTTGATAAATGTTATCACTTCCGGTGCGAAAGGCGAAAATAAATTATACCTATTTCCTATTTACTTTAAAGACTTGATTTCTTTAATAATGGACGAGATAATGCGATTTTTGCTTCTGCAAAATGTATTTAGAATTAAAATTCCTAAGTAATTTGTTAATTATACCACCAAATTTGCCATGCGCCATATTGATTTAATGTGATTACTTGAATAATAATTATTTTTATTTAAAAATATTAATATTTTATCGTTTATTTCCAAGTAGAAAAAAAATGTTTTTGGAAAACCTTTAGTGCGCTATCATAAATCGGATCAACTTTGAAATAGTTTATAAAGAAAAAAATCGACGGCCTCCGTTAGAACAATCAAAAAGTCATTGGCCAAATTTGAACTACACTTTCAGCCACTTTCTTTGCAATTCTTAAAAAAAAATCGAGTTTCCTTATACTTCAACACGCTGTTGTCTTGAAAATGACGTACAATTCATCATTAGAGTTTGGTCAATCATTTTAATTGCACCTTGTATAACATAAATACTAGCGATGGGCAAAGGATTCCCAATTAGGAATATTTCGGGAAGAAATAAATAGCACAATAATGAAATATGCTCAATTTTCGAATTTCCCGCTGAATTTTTATCCTAAAATATGGCCAACGCAATTATTTACGTGTACTGAATATTCAAAGACCATGGAAAACACTAGATGGCGTTAAGAAATATACCAATAATTATATAACTAGTAAGTAGTTTTGCTTTAAAATATGTATCTAATGTATTTGATCTTTTTGAAAATATCCTATCCCTAATAAAAACAAAGAGAAATAAATAGGTATATAAGGGCGAGGTCAAGAGGCTGAACTTTATTTTCTAACATTATCTAACGGAAAAATTAGAGAATTAGTGTACGTTTTCACTATACTAAAACACAAAGCAAGTTAACGTATTATTAGTAATTAGGTATTAAGTTATCTCAGCGTAAACGAACAAAAATATTTCCAAAAATAAGGGGGTATGATATTGGCGGGAATGTCACTTCTGAACTCAATGTCTTACATCGAACAAGTATGTATGTATATACATACAAAGCTTGGTAGAGGTCTTTTAATATCTCTTGAGCCGCGAAATGCGCGAAAGGCGTGGCGTATCCCCATAATTCTTCTAATAAGCAAGTTGTGAAAACATTGACTCAGATGTGCATAATTACAAGTAGACATGAACTAAGGCGCTCGGGCATCAATAAAGTCAACTGGCGAACGTTCGTTATATATATATTTTTATAGTTTAAATTAAAATAATAAAGAATAGGGCATTTTATTATGATATTTGTAATCGGAACAAAGGCTTGTTTACGCTAGAGCTCGAGAGAGACTGTGAATAATAGGTGTAATGTTTTTAGGACGTAGAATAATTTAGGCGACGGTTGGAATTATGTTTCTGCGCATATGAAGGTCACAGCTCATAAGATTTTAAAACATCTCTAGGTACATACAAAGTATCAAACTAATAATACGGATCTTTTTTCTCCCTCTCTATCAGTACAATTACAGAGTGGATCAAATTCCATGAGATTTCAAACATTATGTGCTACACTGATGTGTAAAAAAACTGATGTACCTATACATATCGATGATTCTTGATCCCGAAAGAAAAAAACAATGACTCAGACCGTAGCTTGTGTATCTCTTTCTGTTTCAGAGAATAGAACGTTTCTCAAAAAATGTTAATTTTGACAAATGTCTATAGCGGAATGAAAAAAAGAGAAAACTTTTTTTTAGGTAGGTACTTTTTTCAGTATACCTACTTAGAAGAAAAATCATAAAGCATCTGTTATTAGTGTTATTAGGTTTCAGATAACACTTGCCCCAAAAATCCCATTGAATTTATCTACCCTGTACGTTGAAAACAATTTTGTCTATCATTATGACATGATTGTTTAACTGCATGTTTAAAAAATACATATACGTGCCATCTAGGTAGGTAAATACAAACCATATGCATTTAATTATATTTTCAAGGTATGTAAAAGTTAGTCTTTTCTGTTTTAAATGTGTCAATAAAAAGATCCAGAGAACAGCACCTCTAGTCTCTCTCCTGTTTCTTAGCATGCATCCATTTCCATATTTTTCATCCACAAATTTATGATCTAAGATTTTAGAAATAAAAAAGAACACATCCAATATATAATTTGTCGGATTCAAAAAATAAATAAATACTTCCTTCCTAAAGATAACCTTACGCACATCAAAGCGCTCCAGGGTCCATTCTTAACGTTAACTCGTTATGTAATAAGCCCGTATGGTTGTTCAGCCAATATCTCCGCAGAATTCTTCTCATTGGCGAATTCGAACCAGTAAACAATTTTTTAAAGTTATGATGTCATTTATTTAACCGCTTCTTATGTATTATTAATAATGTAAACTCAACTAGAACCACATGTTTCCAAGAACAGGAAATGGAGATCGATTAAATTATTTGCAAATATCACCTATAGCGAAGTTATGAACCGACAAAAATCAAATTCTACCCTGTTTGTTCTGATTTGAAGGCTGTGGCAGTTACTGTCATTTGTTTAAACAATCAACTTAACTGGAATATGCAACAAACTGGAATTGTAGATGTTTTAATGTAACTTCCCATATTCACGTTCTAGTAGTTATAAAAATATTTATTAAAAGTGTAGCGCGAAAATAAGAGAAATGGCCGTTTTATTAATGCGTGTTTTTGTTTATTTAGGGTCTCCATGCCGACTGGATTAATAACAAAAAAGATTCGTCGCCATCTTGTAAAAAGGTCCTAAAAATGAGACTTTTGTCGGAATTCGGCCCCGTACAGTGTTTGAGATACAGCCTCTCAAACCAGAATTCACATTCCAGCCGGACAAGGCCTGTCAGAAGTTTTCCGGGAAGGTCAACAAACACAGTCATGCCAGTATTTTGCGTTTGTACTAAACAAATTTTATGAACACTTACACGTGATTGTCGATGGTGTTGAGGTAATAATTAGCCATATCCTCGGAAAAGCCCCGTGGGGCCGAACCACACACACAACTCACACGCCGTGTTTACCAAAAATTTTGTTTTATCACCTCTCCCAACCGCGTTTACGGCAAACTGACACCGCCGCAACGACTAACGACTTCGCTCCGATGCTGTTAAGCGCACGCTGACAGCTAAGCGCAGGCGCTTGGTGGCTCGTACACCTCGACAGGGGTGGGTCCAGAAAAATTAAATTATCCCCACAAGGTTAATCGGAGCTTAGAGATTTTGAAACGAGTGTAATGTGTGTATATTATAATAATAAAAATAATTACTATGACTGCAATTTACCTGCCTTACGCATACTTTTTGATGTCTTTATAAAATTAATATTAAATATAATATTTAAATATCTGTCAATAAAGAATAACAAAAATAAATTATATTAACATCTAACAAAACATGTAATGCATAAGTCATACAAATTTTTATGTATATACAGAGTGATCTAAAAATAAACGTAAACAAATTAGAGGATGATACCTAGATCAAAAATTGAATCGATTTTTTAAGATCAAATTCTAGTTATAAGTACATTTTCCAAAGAATTGAAACTTTCAAACAGGTAAATTTCTGAGGAAGATGAATACGTCATTGTGGTTAGTTAGTTTTTAACTACCTGATATAAATTGGTAGCTATAATTAGCTCTCCGAGTGACATTTTATGACGTGGGATAAATATTTTTAGGTTAGGTTTTGTATAATGCATAGGTACCGTTATTTGAAAGTAAAATTTAATTTAGGCAAATTCTTGTTGAAATCGCTGAACACAAAGCGTTTTCTCAAAAGAACACAATTATCTGTCCCAAGTCTATCACTTCTGTCCCATAATGTACCAGAGTCTCTGGAAACAATGGGTTGTCATCAAGTATAGTTTTCTTGGATAAAAATAGATTTAGATCAAATTACCGTGGTATAATTTTACTTCTTTAAAAAATTGCAGGCCCTCAAAGAAATTAAATAAAAAATGAAACATGAAACATTGTGTGTCAAAACATCGCATACATGTTATTGCCGAAGCAATTCGACAAATCTGGTTTCGGCAACGTGTCATGCATCATGGATTCGGGCAATTAAAAATAAAAAATAATAACTTGGAACAGTTGTAACGAATGTAAGGATACATTACTAATTATTTTGAAATTTATATATCCTTTCTATTTCACTACATTTTTCTTTCGTTATAAGCCAAATTTATGCGTATACATGTATTAAGAATCACGTATGTTTAACCATAATTTTAATCAATGGCAGTACCTACATCACGTACATGGAGCATTTTTTCTGGAAAAACTATTATTCTGGCGAATTGTTGAAGTATTCCTTTTTTTATGTAAAAGATGACTCGAATTAAAAAAATTAAGGAATAATTTCAAAAAAGTTCCTTATTAAAAAATTTGGGATAAATAATGCCGGCTGCCTCGAAGTCGCACGCCGATGATTAAAATTGAAAATACTGCCCATTTCCAGAAATAGCATTTAATTTTACATTAATTTGTATACCAAAAATTTATATCCATGTCTAAAGCGATTCTAGAAATATAAAACAAAACCCTTTGTCAGCGGCCATCTTTGAAAGACCATAGCTTCCTTATGACTCATTTTAGGACCCATGTGCTATGTCCTTTTTTTTAGTTTTTTCGTGTTTTCATTCAATCATTCCTCAAGTTTACGCGTATAGTTAAGAATCGCCCTGTATATATTTTATACTCGTATGTACAACTAGATAGATTAGGACATAGATAAGAATCTCGGTAATACATTCTGTACTTCTTATCTTATCGACTTTAGACAATCCTAGGACACTCTAGGTCCATGTTCCATGTACGATTAGATAAGTAACTTTTTAATTCTGGAATAACCTATAGGTATATTATTTTTTTTAGATTCAAGAAATATAGTACTTTTAAATAATACATCTAAAATATATCTTACCTTGTGAGTGATAAAATTTTGTTTTCTAGTATGTGGTTACTATATTCAGCAGGCTCTTTATACCTCAGTAGGCGTTGATTTTTTCAGATAAGTAAATTAGTCAATCCAAACCTATATGTATAGTCTAAATACTGTATAAATATGAGGTTTTACTAGATACGTTTGTTTGTATATTTAGTGTGACAGCAAAAAGTATTTTGTCAAGAACTATTGAACATTAAAATTATTAATACGGCCCTGAAACAGAGGGTACCAGGTGGTAGAAGGGTACGTCATCGAAGGAGTTATTATAGCAATATATAAATTAATAGCGGGAAGCATCGGAGTCAACTTCTATTTCACAGTAAGTTGTAAAAAATATATTATATTTAAGAGCAAAATCGCATATAGATACATATAAAGTGTTATACTACTTTTATAAATACTAGGGAATTATTTTGCTCATGATTATTAGATTTTAATCAGAAATTCTGAAATGAGAGCAGCTGATTGGCAAAAAGCTATAAGCCTCGTCCTCAATAACTTACTGCCAGTGATTATTATATACAGTTGGTCGTTATAACACCTTTGACTTTGGAGTCCCAAATTTCCTTTCTTTTTTATGATGGCAGCGTTTCCAAACTTTAGGCACATAATAAAAAGAAAAAGAACCAAATGCTTTTTATTCTGTGCTTAAGGGCCCAACACAATTTTGTAGGAATAATATCACGAGCGAACTCGGATAGTGCTAAAGGTCGAGGTTTTTGCCGACAGCCTGGAACTTCAGTGTAAACTCTCCCAGCTGCCCAACGAGTAGGAGGACGTGTCGACAGAGAGCCAGACAATGACATTATCCAACCTGCAATCCCAGACGAACTCAGACAAGCAATACGACACCTAAAAAACAGAAAAGGCCCAGGACCCGACCAAATACACAACACTACACTAAGAAGACTGCCACACAAGGGCCTCATGGCCCTACTCAACATACCAAATGCCATAGACAAGACATTTCCCTACACTCTGGAAAACAGCAAAACACAACAAAACTCACAATTCGGATGCATTGGACACCAGCCTTACCCGCCTAAAAACCTACTCCGAAGAACTGCGAGTCATTCCGGACGAACAGTTCGCTATTCGCCCCAATCACTCGACCGAATTCCAAATCCTATGCCTCGCAGAACACATTTTCTGCTTTTAATCTATGGAGCACATCACGGCATCCTTCAACAGTAGACAGTCTACTGAAGCTGTCTTCTTGGATGTTGCAAAGGCATTCGATACGGTTTGGCATGAAGGCCTACTGATGAAAATGTTCACAAACCAGTATCCCATATCCTTTACCAAACTCATCAAGTCCTACCTCCATCACCGAAAATTCCGCATTCAAATTCAAGACACCTTCTCCACAATCCGACCCATGGAAGCGGGCATTCCCCAAGGGACCGTCCTATCCCCACACATACCAAATACAACTCCGACATACCACACCCCCCAAACACAAGCATTTACTTATACGCCATAGAAAACTTAATATTAACTAGCACTATATGACTATAACCGCACAATCCACGAACGCAAGACTATCCACTACCCACCACCAAAACTTATTAGATCAACTTGAAACCTGGTGCAGCAGGTGTAAAGTTTCGGGGTACGCGCCATTATTCCATGGCTAGAAATTGGCCTCAATGATTTGGGATCGAGGGGGATTATCCCTCTTTATCCTGCCTCATCTCGTGTAGGCCTGGACAGCCTTCGTAGGTGGGCCCCATCCGTCGTCTACCCCGACCGCAAATGCGGCCGGTGTAGGCGCTTTGTGGGACCTCCTTTTGTCCTGGCTGGGCCCCGCCGGCTAGGGCCCTTTCTTCTGGCGCTCTTCTTGCTTCGCCGGCTCGTCTGTGTAAACCCCGGGGGTAGTGTCATGTTTATGTGTGGTATGGTTGGGTAGGGTAGTGCGGCTATGCAGCCTGGGATGCGCTTTGCTAAGG